CTGCAGTCACAAGGGCTTCAGTCAGAGTAGTTATAAACCCAGGGACTTCAACCCGTTCCCTCATACTGATCCTAAAGTCTCGTGTAGCTTCAGTCTGTCCTTATACTACGCCTGCATCGCCACAGTGTAGGACTGAAATGGCAGAGGCAGTACCAGGGGGACAGAATACTACACATGCATCAACTGTAGGCCGGTATTTGAAACACAGCAAACCCGGAAGGAAACGTTCAATATATCATGAGGCCTCGGAGACGTCATCAAGGAAGGAATATGAATGTTAGGCGTGTAGTATCATATTTTCTAAAACTGGCTTAGCGTTTGAATGCAATTTTCGCAAACTATGGGTGCACTGCCGTTGTGACAAAGAGGTACTGAAAGAATACTATGAGTTTATGAGAAATAACCCATGCCCATGGTTTGGTGCATTTGTCGCCCTGGCATAGTCCCACAAAGCGTGTCTGCGAATAGCAGGAACAACATGCCGCTCTTCTGTCCAAACACAATTCCATGCAGCTCCCCACCTGCTAACATCACACTGCCCAAACTTGGCAAAGACAGTAAGAAGGACATACCAGTCCTACTGACTTGAAATGCCAATTTTCACAAGGTCAAGATTTACAAGGTTGCACCCACGACATCAGGGGAAGACAGAATTACAAAAGCACCACTTGCATCTACTTGCAAGCTTGGCAACAAGAAAAAGGCTGGTCAGAACCTGATGAAGCCTATAGTTGCTGATGATACAAAGGAATACAAAAACCAGAGGTCAAACCCAAGTATGAGGTTGATCGGCCTAACTCTGTCATCCTCTTTAACGGACCTGTGAGCAAGGATAGCTTGCTTGAACAACGGACCTTGTTTGATTAGGAACAGTGGTCCAACCTGTGCAATAAATTAGGTCTGAACATTAGTTCAGCAAAATTGTGCAGGCTGTACAGGGGTGTCCACACGCCTCAGGGTAAGCCACTCCCAATAAGGGCTACTCTGGACTCTGCGAAGAGGCCAAAAAAGTACTATTAATGTCTCAGGCACTAGTCATGGACAGAAGTTCGAACATAAGGGTGAGACAAGACAGACTATGGGCTATCCGAAAAACGGCGAGGGAGTCACCGGAACTGATGCCTTCTACCTCTATGGTGGTATACGGTGCCCCGGAGCTGGAAACCGGCACTGCTTGTGAAAAACATATGCATGACGTACAGCAATGGAGATGGCTGTCATCTCAGATGGCCCTTGGCGCTTCTGGAGCCATCTCCATTTTCCGACTACCTCGCCCCGCTCATCTCGCACTGATTAGCTCTCCAAAGCTGCTATGTGCCACATTCAACTCGCCGGAGCAGTTGTCCATAGCACTACAACGGTGGTATGAGACCAAGGGAAAAATGGGAGGACACATCCGATGCTGCGAAAGCAGACCCCGAACTATAAGGAGGCAGCAAACTGAGGCTTTGACACGTGCCCAAGTTTCAGTGACACTAGAGCGATGCAGTTTTGAGAATAACAGTCTGTGTCACCCAAGTGTCCGGCCTAAATCCAATGAAAAATCTACAACGGACCGGTTTCATCGGAATCGGCCGACTAATCCCAAAATTAATTCCCCCACCAGGAGACAGTTTCACGTCAATTACCCCACACTATGTCGAGGTTTTCAGACTCACTTTCAGCTGCCTATAAAGCAATGTGAGGGGGCTGAGAGGAAAAGTAGGTGAACTCCGAAATCTCCATGCACACCTACAACTGAAAATGATCATTCTCACTGAAACGTGGCTAAACCCCACTATCGCCGACAATGAAATAGGTGTAGGTGATATGGTTCTGGCCAGGAGATACAGGGATAATAACGAAGGAGGTGGAGTCGCTGTATACTTTGATAGGCACGCGCGCGCAACGGACTCACCACTTATTGAACTCCCAGACTCCATATGGTGTCATTTCACCGTAGGCCACACCAAGCACTTACTGGGTGGCATCTACCGATCTCCCACCTGTGGGGCAGAGCACAATCAGCTACTGCTCAGCACTATCACAGGGATACGAGATTTGGGCTACGACCAAATCACCATAGCTGGAGATTTCAATGCTCCATCACTGAACCTTGGCTCCGGGTGTGCTAAGGGAAAATTTGGCCGAAACCTACTGCAAACTATTCGAAACACGGGACTGACTGAGAATGTTGGAGACGACACTAGGTGGGGCCCTAGTGGAAAGTCATCAAAACTAGATTATATTCTAACTAGTGACCAGCTACTCGTCGAAAAGGTCCAGATCATGACTCCTCTGGGAAGCAGTGACCATGCAGTCATAGGTTTCGATCTTGTCCTCCGTGAGCGTTTGCAATGGGATGTTACGCGACCATGTCTGTGCTACAGCAAGGCTGACTATGCTGAAATGCGGAGGCTCTTGTCCGACGCAGACTGGCCCTTAGCATGGGACGACCTATCTGTGGATGAACACTGGGAAGTGGTAAAAAAGATTATCCATATAGCAATCTCGGATACCGTCCCTTTAGTCACAACACAGCCCAAGAGAAAGACGTCATGGTTGAAGAGAGGCACGCAACGTATTCTGCAAGCAAAGCGGAAGGCTTGGTTTACGTGGCGTGTATCTAAGAGTCAGACCGACCATGATGCATACCTCGAACTCAGGAACCGGTGTAATGCAAGAGTCAGGAGGGACAGAAGGTCATTCCAGGCTAACCTTGCTAAAAAACTCCTATCAAACCCTAAAAACTTGTACCGATTCATGTCGGAAAGAAAACCGACAAACCAAGGGGCATGCGCCTTAGTAGGCCCAAACGGTCAATATCTCACTAGTCTGGAGATGGCTGAAACATTCAGTTCAGCCTTCGCTAAACAGCTAAACAGCAATGTGGATATTACAGTTACGGACCAAAATGGTGGCACCACTATTTCAGAGGAGGAAGACCTAGCGACTACTCCCCAAATAAACCCCGCAATAGTACTAAGGAAGCTACAGCGACTCATACCTGGGAAGTCCCCAGGTTGTGATGACATCAGGCCATCTGTTCTGAAACAGTGCGCCGAGGCTCTCTGTAGACCCCTGTGCGACTTGTTCCAACACTCAATGGATTCGGGGACCCTGCCAAGGGAGTGGAAAAGAGCCATCCTTTCTCCAATCTTCAAGGGTGGGGACAGGCAAAACGCTGCTAGCTATAGACCAGTAGCTCTACTCCCAGTGGTATCAAAAGTACTGAAAAGTATTATTGACGACCACATCAGAGAATGCCTCGATAGGACTAATATACTCCATGAAGCCCAACATGGTTTCAGAAAAGGCAGATCCTGCGTCACTAACCTACTGTCAGCTTGGGACGACTGGACATCATGCTGGGATATGAATATACCAGTCCATGTGGTCTTCCTAGACTTTGAGAAGGCATTTGACACTGTTCACCATGACCTTCTCCTACATAAAATAAGCCAGGCAGGCATAGGTGAGCCACTTCTGTCATGGTTGAAGGACTACCTAGCCGACAGGCAATTTTGCACTAAGGTTAACCGAGTCCGATCATCTTGGCACAGATCGTCATCAGGAGTGTCGCAGGGTTCTATCCTAGGACCACTGATGTTTTTGATTTTCATCAATGATCTACCACGCCGTCTGAGCTGCCCGACTCTCCTGTACGCTGACGACGTAAAAATATGGAGGGCGATAAGGTGTCCGGAGGACTCAGATAGGCTATTAGAAGACCTAAACCTTCTGGAAGACTGGGCGGTGGCCAGTGGCATGACTTTCAACTTGAAAAAGTGCAAAGTAGTGAAGTTGCGCACCTGTAGACTGCAGAATGCAAGTTACACCCTGTGCAATGAAAGCTTGTCCTGCACAACGTCGGAACGCGACTTAGGTCTAGTTCTAACGGAAAAAATGGACACAAGCGTAAATTACACAGGGGATGTAGCGAGGGCATATGCGGTCATACACTTTACGCATAGACAGTTAGGTGCACTCACTCCTGAGCTCTTTTTGATGTTGTACAAAACATACGTCAGGCCACACCTTGAGGTGCATAATATTATTGCACCCCCAATGCTGAGAAGAGACGCCAACCTCTTGGAAAGAGTCCAACGACGGGCAACAAAAGGAGTGGTTGGTCTCCGAAACAAACCATATGATGAAAGGCTGAAGAAATTAGGCCTGTTCACACTTAGTTACCGTCGGCTTAGGGGGGATTTGATTACTGCCTACAAAATAACAAATGACCAGAATCACCCAAAAAAAGGTGTTCTGCCATTGAGTAGGTATAGGCTTCCACGTGGAAATCCCAGAAGGATAGCTCACCAGAGGGCAAGGACCCACTTCTTTTCACTGCGGGTTTGCCACCCGTAGAATTCCTTACCGGCAGATGTAGCTATGGCACCGTCTTTGGACGCCTTTAAGCGAAGGCTGGACAACCATGCAGCGATACAAGGACTGCATCCAAATGGCCTATCTCCTTAAAATCGCATACACCAATCAGGGGGAGATAATTAAACTCGTCGTTTTACTTCTTTACATTCTCTCCCGTCTTACTCTCCTGACAACTTATTAGTATTATAATTACTATTATTATTATTACCGATATATATATATATATATTATTCTTCAAACTTAATGAGCTGACTGTTGTTACGTTTCCTATTTCCGTTTCTGTCTCTTAGTCTGAATAACTTCACTAATTATATGTATTATTATTACTATCTCTTTTCTCTTGTCGACGATACCGAAGGACTAACTGGCGAAAGGATCAACTCCACTCACAGTAGTAACAGTCTTAACACACCTCATACTGCAAACCACATATAATTAATCCCAGCACTACTCCCTTTGGAGTCAACCAAAGCTACGACAGTCGAGTGGCGGGACGAGGTACTCAGAAGTTTACCGAACATCAGGAACCTATACCTAACAATCAAGAAGCGAGCACAAAAAAATCGAATGGATTTATACTAGCTCGTAAAAATGATATTGGATATTGAAAGGTCACGAGGCTTTAAAAAAGAATGCACACTCAAGGTCAGGTAATGGCTGCATACGAGTAGTTCTTAATAATTTCTAAAGTCATGTACATAATAAAACACGAAACGAAATTTATTCACATTGGCAAGAACTTGTAAACAATAAATCGTTGGTTTTGGTATATTAACACGTTTTCACTGAAAATTTCCAAGCTGTGTGAACCTATTTTGGAAATAACTGCATGTGTACAGTACATATAATAAATATGCCCTGAAAATCTAATTCTAGCATGAAAAAATAACTTTCCGGCTCCAAGAGTTTTTATGTTCGCGAAGTTGGGATATGTACTCTAACCCACGTACGCAAACTTTTTCATGTCAATATTCTCTTTTTGTGAGCAGTCTTTGAAAGCCTTGGACGAAACTTACTGGAAACCCACTTTGTTTCATGAATTTGTCTTTTTTTTACTTAAGTGGAACTGTCTCTAATTTAAGAAAATCGGCAAGTGATTTTCTTAGTTGTTCTTCCGAGGCTTGTGGAGATGCATATGAAGTCCGAATGCTAGAATATAACCGTTAACCTAGTTTGCCCCTAATTTTATTTGAGTCGCACTTGTAAAATAAAGAATTAATTCTGTTAGCCTTCTTTAATGATCGTCGTTCTTAATAGTTGTAGATGACGACAATTTCCTATCATGGAATTTTCCAAGAATTTGTGTCCAGAGTTATTATTATCTGTATCTGGATTTTCTGTACGTAAAGTAGGCTGATTACTTTTTGGGTTTCGTGAGCTCGCCGTGTGTTTTGAATTACTTTCGGCTTGTAAGGCAGGAGAAAGCGAATAGAGTTTTTTTACCCATCGTCTAAACTAATAAGTGTTAATGTTAAGATCTAGGGTTTTCTAAATCTTTCTGCCTCTGAACCATGTAAAGCTTTAGTCATCGTTAATGACGCAGTAAGTATTCTAATTATCCGTTTTGTCTTGGAGACTCTTTCAAGTTGATGACGTTTATATGGTTTTTCAACTGTTTCACCAAACACGTCACATATTATTCCGTTGTTGCTAAATTTGGCTATATTTAAGTCGCTTACCTTAACAGTGTATATACTGCATTCTGTATTTTGGATGCTTCTTCAAACAACAAATTGAGTGAAAACCTTGCTTACACAACCCAACCCCCATTTAGTTCACTGCTACATTTTGTATGTCCCTGTAATAACTTTCTTTTTGTTTGAAACTGAGTGTAAGATAAGTATGGTGATTATATGATACTTGTATTCTCTTACATTAGCCAAGAGGATATCGACAATGATTCGATTTAGCTTTTAATTTAGTTAACTTAATATTTCTCAAAAACGTAGCATAGATCCAAGCAATATAGAACTTGGATGATTTAATCATCCATGCAATCAAACAAAAGATCCCTACAAAACCAGTACTTGGAAATATAGAACTTGACAAGCTATTTGGTAGGCACAAACATTCCTCAGCTGTTGTCATTATAATGATCACTTTGTGGTGTATTACTTACTTTACTTTACTTCGGCTATCTCCTACGGGAGGATGAGCCGGCTTCATGAACCATGAAGTTTCATGGGAATTTGGTACGAGTGATGTCCCCAGCATCGCTCGGCCTTTTGTTTGAGAGTGCAGCTCTAGCCTTTACACAGCCAAGTGTGACCTACAAGGCAGTAGGAGTGGAGTAAGGAGTCCACTATCCATTGGCAGCCGGTGACCGGAGTCCGGTTCATTCGCCTTTTTGAATGGGGCCAGTCATCCAGGGCATCCAATAAGCCCTTTGTCCATACGTCTGCCGGTGAGCTCCAGTAAGCTTCATACGCCAGTCGTTGGAGGTTTGGAATCAGGATTTAGCCATCTCCCCTAGACTGTCATCCAATGGACAGTCAACCCGGTGAAGAGCGCCGGGCATCCGCTTTTGCCCTCTCACTTTGGTGAAAAACACCTCCGCCACGTGAAGGCAGTGAGTAGGACTTCCTCAGGAGAGGCTATGTAAGACGCCCGGTCATATGGGAGCATTTCAAGAGGTGTACGGAGGGGTGGCCAACCCGCAGCGCAAGACACCCACCCCCGACCATCCTGAGGCTTTGGAGGTGTATTAGTTATGCCTGTTTAATCCTTGAAGGAAAATATGCAGGGAAGTGAATAATTTGGTGATTAATGTATATTGAGAATTAGAAGAATCAAATCCTTTGATGCATGCCTTGAGCTTCGGAACTGCACGAAGTAGATATAAGGGTAATGCTGAACATATAAATATATATATATATGTATAGGAAAAAATATTTTTGTTCTGCAATCAAATATTTCGGAAATAATTATTAAGTGGTACTGAAATTAGCTCAGTCAACATACATAGAGGAATAAAAATAAATAACACTATTTTTAGGGAAGGGGCTAGAACTGGGGTAAATCCATTACAAAATTTTAAAAGGTTATCAAATAAGTGAATTGTTGTTAAGAGTTTTAAAGTAAGTCAAAAAGTTTAGTATTTTTATTTATTTATTTGAACGCAGAAAAAACTTGGTACAATATGGTACCAAGAAAGATGCACCATACAATCATAATAAAACAACATAGATTAAAAGTAAAAAAAAATATAAGTAGAGAACGGATAAAGAACTTCATGTGAAAGGAAAACAGTCATACTTAACAAGTTCAAACAGTATTCGGTAACTGTCATCAGGAAGGGAAGAAAGAAGGAAGTTGCAACATGTTCGCCATTGATTACGATTCTTGGCCATATCCGATAACGTTTCTAGCCATCGATTCGAGCTATCTCTCGGACTCCAACCAGGGAGTCGTGACGCACCAAGCGATGCTAACCTAGCACAGATGTCCTTCATCTTACGACGTCGCGTCATGGACTAACCACCCCTCCGCATTTTCCATCCCATCCCAGGGCTAGCGAACAGAGACCTGTACGGAAGCCTCTGGGATGACATTCGCAGCACATGTCCAAGCCACTGAAGCCGGTGTTTCCAGATGACGACACTCAACAAATGGCGGTCATCACTGAGTTCAGACGCACGCCGCCGAACCTCAGAATTACTCACGCGATGATACCATCGAATGCAAGTAATCCCGCGGAAACAGCGATGATCGAATACGCAGATCCGCTGCACATGCTCAGCTCGGAGGGGCCAAGTTTCACAGGCTTAGATCGAAATATCCCGCATCGAAGTATTTTATACCCGACCTTTGACAGCCAGACTAACGTCGCGACGGCGCTAGAGGTGGCTCAAGTTGATGTATGCCACCCTAGCCTTCATTATATGGTTGGAAATCTCATCCGTTACCCCTCTGCCAGCGCTCACACAACTACCCAGATACACAAACGTATCAATAAACTCAAGCGGTTCACCTGCAAGAGTGAGTGCAGGTACAGGCTCCTGCCAATCTTGTAACAGTACTTTGCATTTAGACGGTGCAGAGTACATAACATACTTACAGACACTGATTGACAACTGATTAAGTGCGATTTAGTGTGATTATGATAACAATAAAGAAGGTGAGGATGAAGTGAAATGGAATGAATTACACTGTAAAATAAAAGGACATTGCTATGACCAAAGTTAGGAAAGGGGTTTAATAAAGCGTATCTGAATACATAGTTTAGGTTTTTGTGTAGCTAGAGCTTTAGCTAAACATGGGTGACTGAATTTAACCTTGTAGATAACTTTGAAAGATAAACTGCGTAGGACTGAATGACTTGGGTGGTGAAAGCAAAACCTGACATCAGTGTATGAAGTCTTTGACAGTTAGTTTGACCCACTCAAGGAGATGTAGACTGCGTAGCTGGGGTCTTTGGTACGCTAGGAAGCAATGGCTGGAGACTTGGTGATATGGATCAAAATCGTTCTCAATGGTCCAGATGCATTCAATCTTTGTATTCTCTTGGATCCCTTAAATACTCACGTTTTTTCATTTCACTGTTCTTTCTTCCACACATTTTCGCTCATTGTCATTCTTTTGAGTATATTTTCTCTACCTTTGTGTGCTATACAGTGCAGCGACTTAAACTACCGAAATTCTCTGCAAGGTTCTGTGTTGAAAATCAGTCAGTCAGTTAGCTATTTTGAATGCATGCAGTGTATATTTACCTTCAATGGTAGCAAATCGTTGTTCAACGAAGAAGAATACTTAAAGTGTAGCATAGAAATTTAATTATTCACTTAATCTTATGCTTTTGTTTTACTAATTTTGTTTATATTATTTCTACTGCAGGTATTTCAAGCAAGCACTTTGAATATTCGAACTGTTTACAAAAGATATCTGATGCTATTCAGAAATGGGAAACTACACGAAATTCTGTCATCAAATCTTGCCAAAGGTTAGAAGAGAGTCATAAAGAGGACAATCGGTTAGCAAATGTACAGCCTTGTTTTTCACTACCAATATTGAATGAACTCATTGAAACACGATTGGACACTTCAAGAAAGTTAGCAATTGGTAAATATCAAGAGAAATCATTCGATGCGATAGATAAATTTAATGTTTCAACAAATAATTTGTTATCTATCATGAATTCATTGGTTGAGAACATTATGAATCATCAGTCAGTGTCAAGTAATCAACTGCCTAAAGTTATGACTATTCAAAGTATCCTGAATTCGATAGACGCCTTCAAGACATTGCTGATTAATGAATATGATGCTATTAGATTGTATCATGTTAAACGTGTTTTTATTCATTCCGATAGTTTCAATGATTTATTGGTCAATAGCAACCCTTTACCTGATAATTCTCCTACTAAACTTGTGTGGTGTAATGAATTTATTGTACAGTTGAATACATTACTTGATTTTTTAATATGAGAAACAGTTTGATGTTTTCCTTCATCGTATTGGGAATAAAACTTCAGGTATGAGTAGAAAAAGGGTAAAGTTTAGTTAAGGATAAATACTTCTGAAGTGTGTTAATGACGAGTTTCTGTAGGTAGCGCAACTAAATTGTAAATTTGGTCGTCATCCATGGATTACTATAAGTAGGTATACAGTACCTCGGCTCAGACACAAATATATCTAACCAATGAGATGAAGTATTGGTTTGTAGGGATTTAGTTGATTGGCTACAGGATTTTATCATGACTTGACATCGGTAATTAGAGAACCAGTGGAAAATCTGGAAGTATTGGATGGCCGTTTCACCGTAATGTGGGTCTTTCAGCACTACTCACCCACCGAGGTTCGAACCCAGGACCCTCGGGTCACAAGACTAGCGAGCTCGTAGTCCATTAAGCCACGGGGACCCGATCCAATGACCAATCTATGAATTCTAACTTCTGCCAATTCACGACATAGCGCAACCGCTAGCGAATGTCTTCGTCGAATATTTGTCCTCACACTCGATCTGCTGCACCCTACCGGTCGCGACTTCCCAATAGAACCCAGGTAACTACCTACCTGAATAGGGCCAGTCGCCAGTGGGCATCTCATTGATATTCAAGTATTGGTTTGTAGGGTTCGAACCCCGGTGGGTGCGTACTGCTGAAGAGTCTCAAATTAGGACGAAACAGTTGTCCAGTACTCCCAGGTTTTCCAGTGTTTCTCCAACTAATGTCAACTCATGATGAAATCCTGTAACCAATCAAATCCCTACAAACCAACACTTGAATAACAGCGAACTATTCTTTAAACGCTACATTACCTACTGACTATGGTTAACCAGCGTTTTTAATTACTTTGAGATAGGAGAGTATTTCCAACAAGTAAATTAACATGTGTCTGTAGGCGAAATGAAGAGTGCTCTAATGGCCTAGTTGTAACATCTCTGATAGGAACAGAGAGTGACACAGTTTCGAGTCTCAGATGGGACATTAATCTCTTCAAAGTTACGGATACATCTTTTTCCGGCGAGTGCTGACAAGCACGAAACTTATGTCTGGGAAATCCTGCTAATTGCCCCCAGCCACTTAACATTTTGTACGTTGTTGACCCAATGATAGTATGCTCACCAGCCACTCATATGGTCTGGGTGATAAATTTACTAGATGATAACAAGTAAATCACATACCAAGAAAGTTCGAATTCCAAATCGATAAAAATGATCAATAGAGACGTAAATTAACAACTGGTCACGACAATGGTCGCCAGGAAATACAATTACATCATTCATGGAGAACTTAAATAAGTCCATTTTATACTCAAACCTGCGCTGAAGATGTTATCTAGAAGTGGGACGAAGAAAGCTGCGCAATTAAATCAACCAGCTCAGAGAACACAATTAATTCAATATCATCCACATGAGTTAGAAATCCTCTCCATTATTTAATAGTAACAAAAAAAATAAGGCTCTTTAGGACATGACAGATCACAGGAAGTGAATGCATCTGCGCCGCTGAGAAAGATTTTGAGCCATACGATCATTTGTCTCCAGCCATTGGTTCTTAGCATCTTTGGAACCCCACTGAAGCACTCCGCACCTCCCTACGTGACTCAAACTAATGGTTAAAGATTTCATAGACAGATGCCATGTTTGGGTCTGACCATCGCTAGCTCTTCTTCAACCTAATCATATGGCAGCTAACATTACTCGTCGAAGAAGGTGGTGTAACTTCACAACGTCATCAATGGATTTTCTCTCTCTCGACACCTAGCCTCAATATTACTTAGCCAATTATATCACCTGACATGGGAGATAGAACGCAGACACCTATGATCAAAGACATCTAGCCTTTCACTATCTTCCACTCTCAATGGCCATATCTCACAGTCATAAAGGATGACAAAGAGAACTGCTGAACATTATACACGTCATGTGATCGATAGCCAACCGGATAACACGCCTGCGCTAGAGATGACGTAGGTAAGGGAATGCCACACTAGCCTTTTATATCCGTGATGCAATCTCTTCAGCAATCAGCCCGCTGGGGCTGGTGCATATTCTGAGCCAACAAGATTATACCCTGGCAACAAGTCAATCCCTTAGTCGCTGAAGTCAGTTAGGGTTGAGTGCATTAGTACACCTATGATGAAATTAAACAGAAATGGGGACATTGGGGATCCCTGATGGACACCACTGGTTGTCATCAATTCAGATGAGAACTTTCCGTAGGCTCTAACCTGGCTGACTGCATGAGTTCGAGTAGAGTGCCTTGATCAATGCGATGAATTTTCTTGACACTCTCCTCATTGTCACACCACCTTTCAGTCGACCGAGTCGAATTCCGCCTTTAGGTCAAGAAATATGGCAATTACTGGATGCCGGTGAATATGCCCATCAGAATGTTCCTTCCAACATTCTAGTCAGTCCAATCAATCAACAGGAAAGAACAAAATGAACTTAAACAAAGATAAATATTTCTGTTTAATTAGTAATCTTTTTTTGTTGTTTATTCAAAAGTAGAGTTAAAACAAACAAACATATTATTTCGATTTACTTATTGTTGGTTTATTGGTATGTTGTTTGGCATAAGCTGTACCCCTAGGAATATTACTTGCTTGAGTTTCTGGTTTCTTATTTTTCGCTGAAAAATAAATAAAATAAAGTTTGAAGGATTCGTGTCATGAAGTATTAGTTGAAGTATAACCATAAATTATTCGTAAAATAACAATTTAATATTTTTTTCCAATGTAATAAAGATCAAAGTCCCAAACTAGGACAGAACAGCTGTCCAGTACTCCCAAGTTTTCCAATGGTTCTCTAACCAACGTCAGCTCATGATGAAATCCTGTAACCAAAGACAAATTTCTTCCACAACATGTTATACCTAATTAACTAAAGATATCCATTAAACTTTTTAAACGACTGATTACTGGACAAGGAATATTCCCATTTTCGATAACCCCCTGTTACGGTTCCACAGTTATATATCCATAATCATTAAAGAACTTCTATTACTATCCTTTATAAAATCATATTAGTATTATATTGATCACAGTTTATATGAATATTACTATCCTTATTATTAACATTAATGTACTGAATAATCCAAATGGCAGAGGACGCGGCAATTTGCACCAAACACTCGGAACTCTGAATGCAAAAGAAACATCCAACCACTATTGTTACTCTGACCTGTTGTTGAATCTGTGCAATCATAAATTCTGTATTATTTCTCTTAATTTATCTGATATTCAGTTTAGTGTGTATTATCACCTACAGTTGCTTTTGAACTGTAACCTATTTATCTCATTGAATTTAAAGCTTTAATTTCGCTAATAACAATAATCCTTTGAGTTTGACCACAGGATGATATCATTTGGAGGACCATCGAAAACCAGCAGGAACTACTGGACAGCTGCTTCGTCCTGGTGGGGGGGCCTATGGGCATTATGCACTCATCGGGTTTCAAACCCAGGTGTTTCCGGCTTCAAGAAAAGCTCCTAAACCATTCAACCACTCGGACCCAACTCAGTGGCCAGCCTATGTATTCTTACTTATAACAATTCTTGGTTTTAGTGCGACCACCAGCCAATGTCATTGGGGAGTATTTGTTGTCCTTCTCGACCTGGTAGAACCACTGATGTCAATCCATTGTCAAACTCTCAACAAATCAAATCCGTACAAGCTAACTCCTGGAGGCGGCGAGTTGGTCGTCCAAGGGTGACTTGGAGGAGGTCATGCGAGGAGGAGATGAAAGCATGTGGACAGACCTGGAGCAGGGTGAAAAAATTGTCAGGAAACCGAAGGCAATGGAGGTGCGCAGCTGAAGCCCTATGTTCCTCTAGGAACTAAAGGATACAATATAATAATATATGCTACATCAGAACATTCGGGATTTAGCGGAGGAGTTATTTATTGGCAACTCGATGTACAGATTTAGGTAAAATACATCTACTATATATTATTTTTTATTCATTTTATTCCCTTATGTTCCCAGTGAAACATAGGGCTTCAAGCTGGAGCTCTAAAGTTTCGGTGGCAGTGGTTTTATTTTTACCGGGTGGGATTGCTAGTCCCACGCCCAACCTTCCCCTTTACCAGGCTTATAACCAGATAAGCGAGGTTTGGGAATGCGTTGGCTGGGGATCGAACCCCGAACCACATGAGGCGTGGTTGGCGAGCATTATAGCGCTGGACAACCGACGCACCTCTATCATATATTAAGATCACCATTTGCATATGTCTTCTGTATTGCGCCTCTTTTGTTTTCGTTTCATATTATTTCTATGTTGTTTCACAAGGATTTTCATTTCTTCTCTTTGCCATTAAATCCATCTCTCGGCTATTCGATATTCGTATAAATGATATACATGCTTATATGTGTCCATATGCTACTTATAAATCTTTTCAGTAGCGCATACCACAATATAAATGTAGACATTTTAGGAAGAAGTTATCGAAGAGAATATTTTTTGCTCACTGATACGTCTATTGAAATCATAACTATTTATTAGATTTCACTCAGTGTCTGAATACGGATGGTTACTTCATAAAATCTGTTTCAATTGTACATAAGTTTAACCTTACATTTGACAGGTACATTGGCTAATCCTCATATTTGCAGGCTACAACATGTTGAATATGGTACTACTGAATGGATTAACAAGTAACTAGAACAAGGGGGCGGTTACTTATCAGAGTAATGATGATGCCACAAAATTTATTTATGACCACTGAATAAAGCTTTGTTATGCTATACAGTGTTAAATATGAGTGTTTAACTGCTAGGAGGACCCAGTTGACTTAATTTTTTGTCCTTATTGATGTGTATTAATAGAACGTATCTATGGTTATAAAGAAACTTAGGGGTTTGGAGTCAGAGAAATTTAAATTTATGTCTCTTATAGCCTATTCGTATAAATATTAAATATTTCTTGAAGATTCATCTCCTTTCGTCAGATACTGAGTGCCAGGACCAGTCATTATAACA